ATGCATACAAACATACATATATATATAGATATAGATATAGATATAGATATAGATATAGATATAGATATAGATATAGATATAGATATATACATACACATAGAACAGGGACATGAAGCATATTTGTGTTCTCAATATCGTAGGAAGAGCTGCTGTGTTACAGTGTTTTTTGTTCTTGTCGTGTCTAGCCTCCGAGTGCCCAGGTGGAGATGTTATGGGCTTCTTGCCGTCTGGCGAAGTGGCTTTATCTCTCGGCGAGGAGGCCAGGGCTGAAGGCTGCGAGTCACGGCCCTTTCTGTCGTCCTTCGCTCGGGTGTAGAGTTTGTGCTTTTCTTGCGGACATTTGCATGCGCAGTAGGGTGAAGGGAAGCCCCGTTCCCGACAAAAACCCCCAACGGCGACTCAGCCTCCACCCGAGCTTCGGTAGGTTGCTGGCCTCCGTGTGCTCTCCACCGGCGCTGGCCGGCTCGCAGTGACCACAAGGCACACTGCATGTCTGTGGAGAAAGAAGAGCGCTCTCTTCTCTGAGCAGGGACTGGTTTTGGTGATCGGGCTTGGGGCCTTCGCTAGGCCCCCTTATACGACTTCCACGTTAGCTGCCTTTGCGAACGTGTCTTCCCAACTCTGGCTTCGGGGAGTGGCGTGCCTGCATTGCAGAAGCGTGGTCTCTGCGAATCCGACTGCCATGCTTCGACTCCAGAAAGAGACTTAGGCAGTGCAGCAAACCACTGCAATCGCGATCTTTGTAGTCCTGCAGCCTCCAGGCCAGATCCGAGAGATTGCAAAGTAGTGGGGATCGAAGGTCTGGGGAGCCTAGGGCCCAGGGTGTGACATCTCTGCAGGTGGTGGCACGGCCCCTTGGCTGAGAGAGACATATCCCTCAAAGCCTGCAGCAAGACGATTGGCCCGGATCAAGGCGGTCAAAGGCTTCGTTCACGTTGCTGAACTGGATGAGCGTGCTGTGGATGAAGTTTTCGATGCTCGGATGATCGAGTCTTTGCGGACGCCTGCTCTGCACTGCTGTCCTTGCCTGTCCAGGTCGGGGATTCGATTCGTGTCCGGATTCTGGACACAAGCCGTGGATACCTCGAGCTGTCACTGAAGCCGCTGGACGCTGCAGCCTGATTTTGAAGTCCCACGAATTTGATGTAAGGTTCTGCGACCCTGCAAGTAGCAGATGGTCCGAGAACTCATGTACAGCCGAGCTTGAAAACCCATCCAGAATGCTGTGGGCTGTTTCTCATCTGGATGCGCCTGACATCTAGCTCTCGAAAATTGGAGTACGCTCCTCTCTGAGACGTCTGCGACCTATTTAGATCTTGTCCAGTTCCTCGAGCCCCTCTGGCTTTGTTCTTAGTCGCGGGGACCATTGTGGAACCCATTCAGCGAGTCTCTTCGGCGTGTGTTGTCGGCGTCAGCATCTGTGTATTTTTAGCCACATGTTCAGGCACGTTGCATTATCCTTCCAGTTTTATTGGTTCGTAGTTGCCGCCACGAGTCTGGTCCACGCCTGCCTGCTCTGTTTAGTTCAATACTGAATAATTGATATTCTGGTTTTAATGAGTCACTTGCTAATGTGTTCTAAGAGGTTGCCGCATCGCAGAAAGAACAAGCTAGTGGCTCTAGCGGGTATGCGCGCCGAGGGAGTTCGAGAGAGTTACCTTCTGCAGGGTGTGGCTGAAGCAAGACGACAAGCAAATGCAAGTCCAACCGTTGTCCGAGTTTGGTTCCGTGGGGTTGCCTTTCTCTGCGGTGTGCAGGCTTGGCCAGCTTCCAGTTGGGCGCCCTTTGCCAGCTCGAAGGGTTCAAGCCTTGGAGGATTCCATACAAGGACCCGCCCCTATAGACCCTTGAACAAGCCCAGGCCTGGACTCCTAAACCCTTCGCTAAGGCTGGTGCAAAGCAGTCCGGCGCTGACGGGCGAGGAGCGATGCGAGCGATGCGAGCGATGCTTGCGTCTTGCGATGTCATGCAAGATTCAGGTGCGCGATCAATTGCATGGCATGTTTCCTTCCGGAGCTGCAAAGTTTAGTGCCAAGCCGAGAAGCCTCGACCTGTCCCTGTGACGCCATGCTGTCTTCCAACGCCTTCACGGTGATCAGCCCAACCATCCCGCAGGCTCAGGTCGCTCCCGTCGAACCGAAGGTCAAGAGCAGCGATGCAGGTGCAGGGGCTGCTGGAACCTGGTTCTCGGGCACGGGTGCGGCTTTGGCAGCCACCGGCCTCGTCACCGCTTCCGCCCTCCGCCGCAAGGCACGCAGCGCGCGGGCCAAGAACGGCCTCTCGGGTCTCAGCAGCTCCGTCGCCGGCGAGACCTACTATCGCGACCAGCTAGTGGCGTGCCGTGCTCACCTCGGCGAGGAGGCCCCGAGCATGGAGGAGACCGACCAGCACGTCCAGGAACGGAGGGCTTTCAAGTCCTAGGCCCTCTAGGCTTTCAGCGTTGCATCACGGCAGAGAGATAGTCACGCGCGCAGCTCACGCGTCCAAGATCGCTTTCTCTCTCTCTCTCTCTCTCTCTCTCTCGGACGTTTAGCTGTCGACATGTCTCAATCCTTCAGGATGTGCAGAACTTTGCCAAGCAAGCACTTGCCGGAGCTGCAGCAGCAATGGTTTTCACTTCATCCATGGAGTCTGCTGTAGCATACCCCATCTTCGCACAGCAGAACTACGCTAACCCCCGCGAGTACACTGGCAAGATCGTCTGTGCAAACTGCCACCTGGCATCCAAGCCCATTGAGGTGCGGATTCCGCAGGCTGTGTTGCCTGACACCGTCTTCAAGACTGAGGTGGAGATCCCAGCCAAGTATGCCAAGCGCCGTCAGCCCATTGCAGATGGCTCCAAGGCGGCCATGAACATCGGCGCCATCGCCGTGATGCCAGAGGGCTGGAAGTTGGCTCCCAAGGATCGTCTGCCGAAGCCGCTGAAGAAGGAGATGAAGGGCCTCGCCTGGCAGGCCTACAGCAAGGAGTACCCCAACATCGTGGTCGCAGGACCTGTGCCTGGCGAGACCTATGAGAAGATGGTGCTGCCAGTCCTGGCACCGGATCCCAACACCAACGACAAGGTCCTCTTCGGCAAGGGCATCTTCTACTTCGGTGGCAACCGTGGCCGTGGCCAGGTCTACCCCGAGGGCAACCAGAGCAACAACAACCAGTTCTTCGCCAGTGCAACAGGCACCGTGAGCGCTGTCGATGGCTTGAAGGTGACGATCACCACCCCGTCTGGTGAGGCCAAGATCACGGAATGCTTGCCTGGCGCCGACATCGTGGTCCAGGTGGGTGATGAGGTGGAAAAGGACGAGCCAATCACCACCAACCCCAACGTGGGAGGATTTGGCCAGGAGGAGAAGGAATGCATTCTGCAGGATATGAACCGGGTCTACGCCTACTGTGCCTTTGCCTTCTCATGCTTCATTGCTCAGCTCTCCTTCGTCCTCAAGAAGAAGCAGTTCGAGAAGGTGCAGCTCGCTGAGGGCTTCTGAGGTTAAGATGTTTTGGTCTCCTGGCTCCTGCCGAGCTGGGAAATGTAGAGAGTTTTTTCCGTATCTCAAAGATGTCCCGGAGCGAGGTGACAAAAGACAACAGCTCGTTTGTGAAGAGGGCTCCCGTTTCGTGAGTTCAGCTGACGTCTTGTGTGGTCGTAGCCCGCACATGCAGGACAGCCATGCGGTCACAAGCGCGCTGCGCTCGCGCTCAGCCTGCATGTCGGAAGCAGGGGGTCCCCTCTGGCCAGGGGCCTCCAGTTTGCCTGACCACTCGCGGAGCTCATTTTTGCTTAAAACCCGTCAGAAGGCGATTGAGAAAAAATATTGAGGTGCAGGCATAGCGGTGCTACCCCATGCACCTGGCCCCTGCACCGCGACATCATGCAGAAACACCGGAAGTACGCGACTGGTGCCCTGTGCGCAGGTTCTCGGACATGCACAAGAAAGATCCGCGGCCAAGAGCTCGGCTTTGGGCATGAAGCAACCTCTTTCAAGATTTGGAGGGCCTGTGACACGGAGGTGGCAGATGCTGCAGAACTCCATTGAGACTGTTGAGGTGCTGGGGAGTTCGGCCCAGAGCCCTCTGCTGCCAAGCGCTGCGCAAGGCGGTTCTCAAGGACCTCGGGACCTTCAAACCCTGGGTGCCACCCACGGTGAAGGCTGGGAGGAGGGAGGGGGGGGGGGGGCAAGGCATTGAACTTCATCCAGAGCCAAGCTTCTGTTCACCGAATGCCGGCGGCGATATTCAAAGGCTCCTGAGGCTGGCTTGGCGCAGGGGCACTTGGCAAATCGCAGAAGGGGCGTTTGACAAAATCCGCTTGCGCGAGTATATTTGTAAAACCGGCGGATATTTTTCAGAACCGTGCGTTTTCAAGTCGGTTCAAGTTTTCGTCGTACGGCGGGCGAATTTTGAGGTTTTGTTCTTGAGATTTTCAGTTCGTGTTGCAGCACTGCCAGAGGAATTGAGTTTCCCTGGCGATTGGCAGCGTGAGTTTTCGTCAGGGTTTTGGGGGGTCAGGATGGGCTGAAGGCTTCATCATGTTTCATCGCATGTTGAGGAAATGATCAGGGAATATGAGGGAGGCGGCTTTGTCGACTTTGAGTGGCTAAGTTGCAAAACAAAGATAGGTCGTGGGTCTTTTGATGCGAAGTTCAAAATCTAGCAGGGAGACAGCTCACGTCAATAGTACCATACTTAGCAGGTGAATTATCGAGAAAATTGTACAGAACAGCACAAGCAGGACCCGACATAGCCAGCAACACGCAGTTCCCCGGGTTGGCTTTCACAGGGCCCCCAAGCGCGGGTCCGTTAAGCAAACCGTGGCAGTCAATAGTCAGCCTCAGAGGCACTTGTTTGCGCTTCCTTTGTGTTTGCGAGGCGCCAGAGAAGATCTCTTACAAGGGGGTGCGGCGAAGAATGTCTCCAGGAAGGCGGGTCAACATCAAGCGCGCGGCCCAGTGCCAGGCATTCTCATCCACGGGGATCAATCCCTGCGGCCGTGGAGCGGTAGTGCAAGAAACACTCAATAAATGACGCACTGTGTTTCGACGAGTGGCAAAGGCCCGATGTGGAAGGTGGCGAGGTCGAGCCGACTGCTTCAGTGGTCGTCAGTAGATCTTATTGGCTTCGGAGTGCATGTGCAAGGCAGACCCGATGTGTTCCGTGTCCTAATCAGCAAGAGATCGACGAGTCCTGCTTCGTGTTTCCTGTGTTCTGGCTCTCCAGCTTCGCGCCGAGCGCACGGCGCCGAGCCGGCTGAGGCAGACGAAACCTGGAGACATGGTTTTCGAATGATACCCATGATGTTAAGAACTAAAATACAGCGCTTGTCTCATGACGTCGGACTGCTTCCACTTCCGGCCTTGTTGCTCTTGCACATGCGCTGAATTGATGTCGGCGGCTGCTCAGGTGGTGAGGTCATGGCTGCGCCTCTGGCTTTTGTAGGCGGCGAGACAGTGTCGGCAGCCTTTGGCAATGCAACATCTTCGGCCCAGTCTGTCTGGATGAATCGGCTCGAGCGTCTGTCGCCAGCTCTGCACATCGAGTCATCGCAGTATCCAGAAAAAGCCCTTGTATGCCTGTGTGAGAAGTGGTGAGAGGTAGAAACTGTGGTGTAGACGATCCCTGCAATTTTTGCAGTCCCATCCTAAGCCCTAAACCCTAAACCCCAAACCCTAAAAGCCCTAAACCCACTAAAAACCCTAAACCTTCAAAATGTGCCACTAGCATGTGCGGTGTGCTCGTGGCAGCGCTTCGGCGGCGTGCGAGTATCGCCTCAGCAGGGATGTCGGAGGCCGGTAATGGCACTTTTTTGGGCTTGGGTTGAACAAATCTCGCGGTGTTTTTTGGGCCAAAGCAATGGGGGATTATCGGCCTGCGTGGAGCTTGTTACCTTCAGTGTGACCATTAGATGACTGCTGGATCAGCGCAATCCAGCGGACAGATACGGGTCGCAAAGCAAGCCAAAGGCCGGGCAAGAAGAACCCAGAAGGCTGGAAGAGTTTTGCCGCTGGAGATACAGCCAAGGCACAGTCGCTTAAAGGGCCCTTGATGGGCTGTTGAGACATGTTGAGACACTGTGATGGCTTCCCTCGAGACGAAGCACTACAGTTTTGGGAGCTTGTTCCTATTTGCTCTTCTGCCTTTCTCCTTTTTGCTGAAGGCAGCCTGGCAATGATCCTTGCTCGGCTGCTGGCTTGCCTTGGGCCAACGCCTCAGTGCGGAACAAGCAGCGTTTGTTGGTGATGACTACTCGGCTCGACAGGTGGCTCCAGCAGATGTCGGCATCTACTCAGCCTCACTATGGCCGCGACTTGGTGCATGCCGTGGTCTCAGCGCCGGCACCGAGGCCTCGCACTGGCTTTCAATGTCTCATCCCTGCATACACTTGTGGTTGAAAGCGCAGCTGCTTAGGCAGCAGGCAGCAGCAAGACGTATCAGAGAGGAATTTCACTTCCTCCTCCGATTGCCAAGGCTGACCTGGATGGCAGCGTCTCCAATGCCACATCCTGAGTCAATCAGGAAACGTCTAGCCAACCGTGAAGAGCGAGAAGCTACAGTGGGATACCACCGGTCCTGGCAAATCGATATAATGCGACTTGCAGTTCCTTGGCCAAGGTCACCATTGAGGGCTTCACTTACGGCGGTTGCTTTTCTGCCGATGTCGCTGCTGGAGCCAGCACCTGAGGGCTCCCACGCTGAGTCAGAGGCCTCGGCGCGGATCCTCCAAGGCGCTGGGTTCCAACTACAGTGTTGCGCCTCTGACGGCGCAGTCGCCCTCGGCTTGCGCAGCTCCCAAGGGGTTTGGTGAGGGGCAGTAGGGCTCAGTAGGGGAAGGGGCAGAGAGTGCCGCGTCCAGGTGCCGATGCCTGTGTGGACTGGGAGGTCTTCCTGGTCGGAGCAGGGAGCTGCTACTGTGCCGAGGTTTTTGGCTCTGAGAGGCTCTGATGTTTTTTTTTTGCCTCCCTGCCCTACGCGCCAGCCGTCGGAGTTCGCCTTGGAGACCTGGAAGCAGCTGGAAGAGACCCTCTGCGATGCGTGGGAGCCTCCGAGTGCCCGAGAGTGGTGGAAGCCTCCGGCGAAAGAGCAGCCTAAGCCCTAAACCCTCAACCCCCTAGGACCCAAACTCTACGCCCCCTAAACCCCCTAAACCCCCTAGGACCTAAACTCTACACCCCAAACCCTGAACCCTAAACCGTAAACCCTAAACCCCCTAGGACCTAAAGTCTACACCCCCTAAACCCTAAACTCCAGGCCCTGCGATGCGTGGCCGGACGAGGACTTCGGGGGCCTCGTCGCGTACTTCCAGACGCTGTCCCCGGCCGAGACACTTCGGCCTTCGGGTCTCCCCGCTGTCGGTTGTAGTTATCCATTATTATTACTATTATTATTAGTATTATGATTAATGATTAGTATTATTATTGTTATTATTGTTATTATGATTACTTTTGCTATTTTGCTATGATCATTATTGCTATTATTAGTTTTCTTCTTCTTCTTATTAGTATTAAATTATTGAGAATTTCACTTGGCTTTTCAGGCCCGGCTTCTGCGGTGGCAGTTCAGCAAGGAGCCCAGTTTCTGACTGCGGGGGTTTCGGTCAGGAGGAACAAGACAGGATGAGACATGCCTTGTGACAGAAGCTCAAAACTTTCAGATGAGAAGGGTATGACTAGGCTAGTCCCTGGAGGTTCTGCGGAGACCATGTCTTGGTATAAGAGAAGAACTTGTTGCAAGAGCTCGAAGAACCGCAAATACCATTGATTTTGCACTTACGGAACATAGCTACGCTACTCGGAACATGTTGTCTTCGCGCGTACTTATAGCTGGGAAGTACGTGCGCGAAGATGTTACAAAGCAAGGTTTAGGCACACGTCGAACAACGAAAACATGCCAAAACTCGAGGTTTTGTCTTCTGTGAGTGCGCAGTAAGATTGGAAATGCGAAAACATGACGAAACCCCTGCGTTCCATGGTGTATTCGCACGAGGGCACCGAATTCATTGGCATTTACAGTACTTCGTACACCTCGACAGAAACAAGGAATCCCGACAGTCGCGGTTTTATATGTGGTGTTTGGTGTTTCGGTTCACAGTTATGGGTTTCGTCTGCTGTTGCCTGAAAGAAAGCATGCAAAAAACTCGAGGTTCTGTCACGTGCACGTGCGGAGAAGCACTTCAGCACATCAGGAAGACCTTGCGTTTCACGGTGTCTTTGCAACAGAGTAACCAATTCACTGGTATTTGCAGTACTTCGCACACGTAGAAAAAGACAGAGTTTAACGATAGAGTTGGTTTTATGCGGTTTTGGGGTTTAGACTTTCGCAAAGTTTAGGACGGGTTCAAGGTGGCTTGAAGGTTTGAGGTCTAGAGTAAGTGTTGCGTGTTTATTGGTTGTGACTTCAAGGCTTGGCGCTGAGCATGGAACACCTGAGCTTTTTCAGTCCTCCCACAGAGGTTTCTCGAAAGCGTCACTTGGCTTGCGGCAGCCGCGGCATT